ATGTCTGATTCCACGTCAGAAACCCGAAGAAGAGAATAGCACAAATGTGACTAGAATTACTTCAGCTCAGAGGCAAGTAGACTGCCTGACTCAACCTTCAGTAATTTACTGAGCACCTGTCTTTATCAAACTTTATTCTAAGCCCACAGTAGTGATGACAAAGTGAGTCAAAGTCCCTGAATCCATGGTGATGATGGTCTCATAGTGGTGGGAATGGAGGCCTTTGTGACCAACTAAGACAGGGTTCTTAACCAAAACGTCTTGTTTTTTTAAGGCTTCTGCTAAGTCCCTACTCTTAGTAGTTCTAATTTTGTAAGTTTGCAGTAGAATCAAGGCACCTATATTTTAAGATGTGTCCACAATTGGGAACCATTGATGTAAAACAACCAGAGACATGATTTCTTAAATAGTGATACCTAGCACCAAACTGAAGGTAGAAAAGTAAAAAATAATTCTGAAAGCCTACCAAGGGACCAGTGTTACACCTGGTAGTTTGCATATGTTACCTCATTCAGTATTGTTGCCGCAAATTAATTAATACCAAAGGGACCAAGATAAATAAGGACACAATAGCTTTCTTTAAAGATAAAGACAAAGAAAGAATTACTAGGGAGGACCTATTCTATAACTTACATTTTAATTCCATTTGCCTTTCCTTGTAGTCTTACTGCATAAGGAAGACTAATGTTCTTATCACTTTAATTTTAATATTTGGTAGACAAATTAGGTCTTATTTTCTGTTCTTTATGGGGAAATATCTAGGAGATAGCTTAGCAGGTGGGAGGTAGGCAAGTGATGTAGAAGAAAGGGAAGAAAGTCAGAAAGCCTTCTTCATTTCTTCTTTAGTTTCTTATTGTAGACTTTTACCATCTAATTTCCTACACAACCCCTTGATGTTTTTATCATATTCGATGGCTCTTTTCTCTGGCCAATATGGAATCAAATCACATAAACATACCACCATTTTGTCATGAGTGTGATAGTGAATGGAGAGCAGGACAAAGCAGTCCCGATTCTCTTAAAACTCCTACTGGAAGAATGCCTTCTGGTTTTCGACCTCCAGCCAGCAGTTTGGAGACATGTCATTTATCATTAGCAAAACTATTTATTTCTGTATATACTGTAGCCAAACATTGTAGAACATACAGAAAGTTCTAAGTTATCCTAATACTGTCAACTACTAGCTGAGAGACCTTGAATCCATTTCACCATCTGTAAAGTGGGGCAAATGCATAAAGTCAGCGGACGCTTTTTTCAGCATATTTAAATTATTTTAATTTCTATTTTTATTTTATTTCTATTTTTATTTAATTTTCTACTTATAATTATACATCATTATATCATCTTCTATATAATTTTTTCTAATTCTTGGTAGAAAGGGACAGTATATAATGATACAAAAAAATCTATGAGCTTTAAAAATTTGTGAAAGATTTAAAATTTTTAGAAAGAGACATGAGGCATGAAGAGTTGCAGAAATTCTCAGGGTTAATAAAAAATGTGTAACCATAAAGCCATTAAAAGTCAGATATTAATTCTGTTCTCAGGGAGGCAAAAAGTTAGGAAAAATAAGGTACACCAATGAACACAATAAGGTGTTAAGTTATTAATTCCTTGTTCAGACCATCAGATATTCCATTTGGGTTAGATCTTTCCAGGTGGATAGGACTGAGAGGTATAGAAATGAGGGACAGGCGTTCTGGGGGGTGGGGATTGAACAGCTGGATATGGTTTTCATGAAAATCTGATCAACTGTATGACATCTATACCTTGAAGACTCCCAGCCCTCTGTTGTCCATTTTAAATGAACAAACAGGGATTTGTCAGAGTTAACCAACTGTATAAGGCAAGCTGAAAAGCCTATATTTTGGAAACGGAATTATCTAGGTTGGTTGACCACAGACCAATTAACCAATTTTCAAATGCCACGTATTTAAAATGAATAGTAGAGGGCTGGGAGTCTTCAAGGTAGCTTTGAGAAAAATCCCCTTAGAAATCGTGTTATGTTATAAATGTATAGGCTCTCTAAATAAAACATCTTATTTCCTTATGTTTCAATTTCTTCACCAAGACCTCCCCACTCTATAAAACAAACTGTAAACTCTTTTTCCAGCTGGCAAAAATCCCATGCAGAGCTGCAAACATGTCAAGGATTTTATACCTATTCATTCATTTCCAGGTTCAGCTGAGTTTGTTGGCATGCCAAGTATATGAGCGGACAATAAAAACAAGGTCAATTCTTCAACTCAGACCTTTTGAAAACGGAAATGACACATCCGCTACAAAACTGGCAGATTTGTTTTGTCTCAAATTACCCTAGGAATGTCTGTCAAATATGTGTTGAAACATATCTTTAATATTATGTATTTTGTTCAATAAATGAAATTTAGCATTTGAAAATTATAAAGGCCTATTCATATATTTAAATCTCAGTATTAAAAAACATGAATTTCTGATCAATAAAATGAGCTGATACCCTGATATGGGCTTATAAGTGATTATATGTCTTATTTTATTTCAGATTAAGTCTCTCAGCAAAAATCTGTGAGAAAACAGTCCTGAAGCGAGTTTTGAAGGAGTTATGGAAGCTAGTTCTTAACAAAATAGAAAAACAAATTGTTCTCCCTCCTCTGACAGATCAAACAGTAAGTATTTAAAACCAAGATTTGATTAAACTTTTTGTTTTAATTTTTATTTTTTTATTTTTGAAGTGTAGTTGACATACAATGTTAAATTAGTTTCAGGTGAACAACAGTGATTTGACAATTCTATACTTTATTTAATGCTCACCACAATAAATGTAGTCACCATCTACTAACATATAAATAGGTTATTAAAATATTATTGACTGTTTGCTATGCTGTACTTTTCATTTCCATGATTTATTTGTTTCATAACTGGAAGTTTGTACCTCTTAATCCCCTTTACATATTTTGCCCATTCTCCCACCCACATCCTCTCTGGCAAACACCAATTTGTTTTCTGTATTTATGAGTCTGTTTCTGTTTTTTTGTTTATTTGATTTGGTTTTTAGATTCCCAGTATAAGTGAAATCATATGGTATTTGTCCTTTTCTGTCTGACTTATTTCACTTGGCATAATACCCAGAAGGTCCATCCATGTTGTCACAAATAGCAAGATCTCATTCTTTTTATGACTGAATAATATCCCATTATGTGTATGTGTACACACACACACCACATCTTCTTTATCCATTCATATATTGGTGGACACAGGCTGCTTCCATATCTCGGCTATTGTAAATAATGCTGCAATAAATACAGAGGTGCATATATCTTCTTGAATTAGTGCTTTCATATTCTTTGGGTAAATATTCAGTAGTAAAATTACTGAATCATATGGTATATCTATTTTTAATTTTTTGAGGAAACGCCATACTGTTTTCCACAGCGGTTCTACCAATTTACATTCCTACCAAGGAAAATCAAGTGCATGAGGATTCCCTTTTCTCCACATCCTCACCAATACTTCTTATTTCTTGTCTTTTTTGATTCTAGTCATTGTGACTAGAGTGAGGTGATATTTCATTCTGGTTGTAATTTGCATTTCCCTGATGATTAGTGATGTAGAACATCTTTTCATGTGTCTCTTGGCCATCTGTAGGTCTTCTTTGGAAAAATGTCTATTCAAGTCCTCTGACCATTTGTTTTTAAATTTTATTTTATTTTATTATGTTATGTTAATCACCATACAGTACATCATTAGTTTTTGATGTAGTGTTCCATGATGCATTGTTTGCGTATAACACCCAGGGCTCCATTTAGTACGTGCTGACCATTTTTTAATCAGGTTATGTGGGGTTATTTTGTTGTTGTTTTGAGGTTGTTTGGTGTAAGCTGTATAAGTTCTTCATATGTTTTGGGTATTACCCCCTTAACGGATATATCATTTGCAAATAGCTTCTCCCATTCAGTAGGTTACCTTTGCATTTTGTTGATTTGCACTGGTGTTCACAGCATTTTATTATAGTATAGTCCCAGTAGTTTATTTTTGTTGTTTCCCTTGCCTAAGGAGAAAGATCTGTAAATATGTTGCTAAGGCCAATATCCAAGAGATTACTGCCTATTCTCTCT